TGGAGTCGGGGGGGAGACCCCTCCCCTTGGGCTGCCCTCACGGAGCCCCCCTCTGCCCCCCTCGCAGTGGCTGCTCTACCGCTACAGCTGCATCGACGACTCCGGCTTTGAGCACTTCCTGCCGAGGGTTTGGTGCCTTCTGCGCAGGTACCAGGTACGGCCGACTGGGCTTGGGCGGGGGGGGGGGGGGGGGGCCCCGGGGGGCCGGCCTGGCCCTGCCCCACTTCCCAGAGGGCTCCCGTCCGTCCCCCTCCTCAGATGATGTTTGGCGTCGGGCTCTACGAGGGCACCGGCCTGCAGGGGGCGCTCCCGGTGCACGTCTTCGAAGGCCTCCACAAGCTCTTTGGGGTGAGCTTCGAGTGCTTTGCCTCCCCCTTGAACTGCTACTTCAAGCAATACTGCTCGGCCTTCCCGGACACCGACGGCTACTTCGGCTCCAGAGGGTGAGCGCCCACCCCGGGGAGGGGAGGGAGGGGGCACGGCCTGCTGGGCTGGGGAGGGTCCTGGCCGCCCTGGGCTACCGCCTCCTCCCCCTCCTCCCCCCGCAGGCCTTGCCTGGACTTCTTCCCCATCAGCGGCTCCTTCCAGGCCAACCCTCCCTTCTGCGAGGAGCTGATGGACGCCATGGTGACCCACTTCGAGGTAAGCCCTGGCGGGGGGGGGGGGGGGGGGGGGGGGGGGGGGCAAGGGAGGGGCTCAGCCTTGCTGCCTCCCTCCTCCGCCCCAGAAACTGCTGGAGGCCTCCGGCGAGCCCTTGTCTTTCATCGTCTTCATCCCGGAGTGGCGGGACCCCCCGCCAACAGCCCTGACCCGCATGGAGCAGAGCCCCTTCAAGCGGCATCAGCTCGTCCTGCCGGCCTTTGACCACGAGTACCGCAGCGGCTCCCAGCACCTGTGCAAGAAGTAAGCCGGGGGCCCCAGCGGAACCTCCCAGCCCTGCCGCCTCCCTCCCTCCCCCCCCCCCCCAGCAAGAGCCCTGCGAGGTGGGCTGGGAGAGAGCCGGCTTTGGGGCCTCCCAGTTTCCCCCGGCTCCTTCCTTCCCCACTAGACCAACCGCCCTCCCCTCCTCCCTTCCCTCCCGGGTCTGGGGAGCAGCCGCCCTGAGGGGCTCCCCCCTGTTCCCAGGGCCAGACTGGCTGAGAGCCCCCAGGCAGGGTCGTCCCCTCCTCCCCCTCCCCACAGTTCCCCCTGGAACCGTAGCCTGTCTCGGGGGTCCCTGGGCAGCCCCCCCCAACAAGGCTGCCCTGGCTGTGGGACTCCCTGCACGAAACCAGCCAGGAGCCCAGGGAGCCCCCAGAGGGGGGGTGCCAGAAACACCCCCCCCCCAGCTGGGCCTGCCTGCCTTGGGTGGACTTGGTGGGCCGTCTGCCCAGCGGACACTCCCAGGCCTCTGGCCCAGCGCTCTCCGGCCGGGCGGCCTTCTGGGTCCAGGTTCGGGGGGGGGCCTTTCCTGCAGGGGCCGTCCGGGTCCAAGCCGGAGGGCCTGAGCTCCACTCCCCCCTGGCCCTGCCCCGTGGAGAGCCAGCGCTGCTTTGGGTGCGGAAGGGGGGGGGGCTCTGAGCGTTCTGCCTTCTGCCGCTGCAGGGAGGAGATGTACTACAAGGCCGTGCACAACACGACGGTCCTCTTCCTGCAGAACAACGCCGGCTTCTCTAAGTGGGAGCCCAGCCCGGAGCGCCTGCAGGAGCTGCTCTCCGCCTACAAGCACTCGGGACGCACCCAGCCCACCACCCCGGCCGCCCCTCCCGCCCCGGACAAGGACCCGGAGCCGGTCCGGGAGCAGAGCACCAGCCGGGAGCCCACCCCCAACTGAGGGCGGCCAGCGGAGAGGCCGGGAGGGGGGGCCGCAGGAGAGGAGCAGCTGGGGGGCCGGCCGGGAGGGGGGCTGCAGACGCCCCTGGGCTGGGCCCAGCAGAGAGGCGCCTGCTGCCGGGCCGAGCCTCCCCCGGCCGGGCCGGGGGGGCGGGGGGGGGGGGCGGCCCCCCCCCCCCCCCCCGCACAGCAGAAGGGGGGAGAGCAGGCGGGGGTGGGGGGTGCCGGTGCACCGTCGTTCGTGTAAATACGTGTCCCTGTGGTGGTGACTGCCCTCGTGGCCTCCTCCCCCCCTCCTTCCTCCTCCTCCTCCCTCCTTCCCGAGGGTCCCCGGGGCCTAGGCCCAACCGGGGCCGTTGACTGGCCGTCGCAGAGCCGAGGACTTGGGTGCGCCCGAGCGGCTGGCCTGGGCAGCCCTTTTGGTCGTTGTCTTGTTTCCACCTGAGGCTCCCGGCTTCCTGGGGGGGTTTCGTTCCTGTTCTTTTTTTTTAAAAGGGTTTAATTTAACTATGCTAACCGTTTTATGACTTTTATGGATGGAAGAGTAAAGGAAAAATGTCTATTTTGGATTTTGTTTCTAGTTCTTAGGAACATTAAAACCAGCATTATCACCTGCCCTGGACTGGTGGTGGCTTTTCTGAGGGGGGGGAGGGTCAGACGGGGGGGGCTTAGCCGTGGCCTTAGTGGTTGGCACCTGACGTGGCACCTTCTGGCCTGAGGTGCCAACAGGGCAGGGAGACTCTCGGCCGGCTTGGACGCCAGGTTCTCTCCCCCCCCCCCCCCCCCCTTCCCCCTGGGCCCCCCCCCCCCCCCCCCCCCCCCCCCCCGTTTCCTTCTGGGACCCCCAGCACTCCCTCCTCCCGTCAGCCCCATTTCCGGGCTGGGGGAGCCCAGTGGGGGGGAGCACGAGGTCAGGTCTTCCTGGGGGGGTCAGGGGGGGCAAACAGGCCTCTCCACGGACTCCCCGTGGCTGACACGGAGGCTGGGTGGCTGCCCAGCTCGCCCAGGATCCAAGGGGGGGAGGGAATCTGGGCCGTGCCCATCCGGTCCCAGAACCCCCCCAAGGCAGAGAGAGGCGGTCCTGGACTTAGGACCACAATGGGGCCAAGCAGGACAGCTCCTAAGTGAGTCCTGCCCCATTTTACGTCTTCTTTCCCCCCAGTGCTGCTGTTCACTTAGAACGGTTGCTAAATGAACGGTCGTAAGTCAAGGACGACCTCCCGCCTCCCCTCCTGCGTTTTGCAGGACAGCCTGGGTGGACCTTTGAGGGGCTTTGGGCTCAGGCCTCTGGGGGTGGAAGGCAGCCCCTCCCCGAAAGCGGGCGGGGGTCTTCCAAGAGGAAGCATTGCCAGAGGTCCCCTCTTGGGCGCCGGGAGGGTGTGTGGTGGGTACCCTTTAGGTGGGCTGCGTGGCTGCATTCCCAGCCCTGACCCCCACCCGGCACTCTCCCGCCTGGTGGGTCCCTGTGGGTTGGGGTCCCAGATGCTCATCCCCCCAGCGGCCTTTCGAAGGCTGGTTGAGCGCCCCTGGCAAAGGACTCCCTCCCTCCGACAGACACGCCATGCAGGGGGGAGGAAGGGGGCCCCTTCCGCCAGAACAAAAAGGCCTTTGAAATGCACCCCCCCCCCCAACCTGTGGCCCATCGAGCTCTGATGCTGGCCCAAAATACCCTCTTTTAAGCCAGTGGAAATTTCATTTTGTTATCCAGGGAGGACAGGACATTCACACGTTGGCAAAATTATTTAGAATAGATTAACAGAGTTGGAAGGGACCTTGTAGGTCATCTAGTCCAACCCCCCACCCACCCAAGCAGGAGACCCTACACCATTTCTGACCAATGGCAGTCTAGTCTCTTCTTGAAAGGCTCCAGGGATGAAGCTCCCACAACCTCCGGAGGCAACTTCTGTTCCACTGGTTGATTGTTCTCCCCGTCAGAAAATTCCTCCTTGTTTCCAGGTTGAATCTCTCCTTGTTTCAATTTCCATCCATTATTCCTTGTCTGACCTTCAAGGGCTTTGGGGAGAATAGCTTGACTCCCTTCCTCCTCCTCTCTGGGGCGGCCCCTCGGGTATTGGGAGAGGGCTCAACGTCTGTCAGTGGGTGAATGAAACCCTCATGCAACCCTCGCTGAAGGCCAGGATCCCCCCTGCTGGCTCAGCCGACCCCCCTTTGGAGCCCAAGAGGAGGGGGAAGCCCCTCCAGTGGGGTCTGGCTGGTGGCGGCCTCCTTCCGAAGCCCCTCCATCTTCTCTGGGATGAGCTGAATGGGGGGCGGCTGGGACACCCTCCCCACCCTCCCGACCTCCTTCTCCGCAGCTGCTGGACCTTTTCCCCTCGGAGCTTCCCCCGCAGGACGCGGTCCACGCTACGCAAACCCTCAAGGTGGGGGGGGTTTCTGCGGTGCTTGTGCCCCCTCCCTTCCCATCTTTGGCCGCTGGGTCGGGCCTGGGTCTCCCGCCTGGCATCTCCTTCATTCCGGGGGCTCCTGAAATCCTCTCTTCCGTGCAAGGGCAGCAACAGGTGGAGACGCGGGTCGGGGCTAAATGTTGTCCTGTGAAGGGCAGAAAAGGGGCTGCGGGGAGCGGGGCGGGGGGGCAGCGTTGGTGACGCAGCTGCCTTGTCAATCCTGCATTCGGGATCGGGAGCTCTTTCCCGCCGAGTGTCTGAAGCGAGTGACACGGATTTTCTCCCTTAGAGCCCCGCACATTGATTTCCCCCGCAAACGAAGCCGCTGCACCCGCTTGGGCGGGGGGGGGGGCGGCACGTAGCAGGCGGGGGTCCCTCCTGCCCACCGGTGCCTGAAACCCCCCGCCCCTTTCCCGCTCCGGGAGCAAGGAAGGGAGCGGGCCGGGGTCGATCGGCCTCGGGCGGGGGGGGAGGGGCTCGGTCCCGAGCGAGCGTCGCCCCCACCCGGCTCGGTCCGCGTCGTCCTGGCAACGGGGAGGCGGATGCCCGTGGCCCGGGAGCGCCCAGCTGGCGCTGCGGCAGTCCCTGCGAGGCGGCCGGGCGGCCGGTTCTCTTCGCGCCTGCGGCGAGGTAAGCAGGCAGGCGGCAGACCCAGCCCGGGGGTCCCTGCGGGCCGAGGGAGGGAGGGAAGGCGGGGGCTCTGCGGTCTTTCAG